TACAGAAGTAAAGATGAAATCGTTAGGGTGGACCCTGATCCACTAGGACTGGTGTCCTCATAATGGGGAATGCCATGTGAAGACAGGCACAGGGAGAGACAGAGGGAGGTCAGACCAATGCAGCAGCAAGCCAAGGAATACCATAGATCGCCAGCTGCCACCCGAAACTAGAAGGGACAAGGGAGGATGCTACCCAGAGTGTCAGAGGGAACATGGCCTGGCCGACCCCTTGACTTTGGGCTTCTGGCCTACAGACCTGCGAGACAATAAATTTCTGTTGTCTTAAACCTGTCAGTTTGGGTGGCTTTGCTATGGCAGCCCAAGAAACTAATCGCTGGCCAAATTTCAGGGCTATTTACTTGGTAAAAAGCTGGCTGGAAAAGTATGATCTTAAACCCAAGAATATGGGGCTTTCAAATCCAGGATCTAACAGACACAGACATTCCCACATAAACAGAAACTGAGTCTCACCCTCTTCTTACCTCACTTGTCTTTGGGACACTTCTCTAAAATTTTCCGACTGAAAGTATCTTTTTTCTTTTCCCCTAAATAGCCCCAGGACCTACAGATTTAAGTCCGGACTGTGTCTGTGAGGGGTTGGTCTAGATCCCCCCAGTCATCTATTCTGGTGGCAAGGTGGAGGTGACATTAAGTCCTGAGCCCTCCTCAATGAAGAGACTGCCCATCTCCTCAAAGAGCACGTAGCTGTCCCCTTCCCTGGACCCACGACAGCGCAAGGATACCCACGACTTGGTGCTTCCTCATTTAGTGCAATTAGGCTGGTCCTGGTTTCTCATCCTGCACAAGCTGCCCACAGGCAGGGAAGGAGACTCTTCACCAAATGGTCTCCTCCTTCTCAGAAAATGCTGTCATCAAATCCAGGAGCCTAAAAGGTCTCAAGCTCTCAGACCAGGTTTGAAAGCCAGGGATGCCTCTGTGCCCACATGCAGCCCCAGGACTGTCTGCTCACCAGCCTCCGATCCCAGCAAGAGATGGATGCAGACTCTGAGGCAGAAGCAGGTCTGCCTGGCAGTGTGGCAGATGGGGTAAACAGCGATAGCAGTGTGAGGTCGTACACAGGGTTCAGGGCGAGCTTGCAGCTGCCGTCTTACTCTGAGACGTGATAGAGTATAGTGATGTGAGCCCACATGGCAAAGCCAATCTGCCTGGCTTCAAACCCCACCTCTATCACTTATCGCTGTGTGACTTTGAGCAAGTTATTTAACTTCTTGGATCCTCATCTCCCTATCCATAAAATAGGGTTAACTAAAACAAATGTTATTTTAAGGATTAAATTAGTCAATATACATGTGTGCTTAAAACAATGACTAGCACACAAGAAGTGCTACATTAGTATTCGGTACCATTTTTATTAATTTGCAGAATCTGCTAGTCAGATCTTTGCAAAGTTAACATGAGACCTTGAAGAAAGTTTTCCATGGAAACCTAGTGACTTCGACAGGATGTGCTGTTGATGAATTGAGCAAGGTCAAGTTTTACAATGGTCTTCACCCCAACAAGTTAGCTAACTATAGGGTCAAGCTGCCTGTGTGCACGCTGATCAGATCAGAGGGCCCCCAGAACAGTCACTGAAATTCACAGGTCTCTCTGCATACATAAGCCTCCTTTCATCCTATTACTTTTTCGTTCAACACACTTTCACCAATTTCCTAATGTGTGTCAGACTTAGCCTGTTTCTATGAGAAATAAAAAAATGAATCCGTTTTCAAAGATCAGTTGAGGTCAGAATAAAGGTGGTCCATGCATCCATCCATTATCTACCTATCCATCCATCATCCATCCATCCATCCAACGGTTTACCCATCCATCTGTCTAACCCATAATACCTATCAGCATCTATTGTACCCGTTCGGCAGATGTTGCCCCAACTCAGTGGAATGATTAGAGGTGTGTTAGGAAGATGTTCAAGACTCCCTCTCCAAATCTTCCTTTACTTCCTGATTGGTGCTTGTAATTTCACTATTATATCTTTATCACGTAGACTTAGAAATAATTCCTGGGAGGAATAAAGGGCTAAGTCATCGTGAGTTATTTACACACTTAAAGACAGTTACAAAGGCAGGCTTCTGTTTTGTTTGTTTGTTTCTTCCATGAGTGAGAGAGGCAGAGACAGCACCCTCATACCTTCAAAAGATTCTTGATGCCACAACACACCCCCAGCCTCAGCCAACCCCAGATCATGGAGGACACAGAGAGGCCTCCAGACATGACCCCAGAACCTTCCACGATGGTTGGCCTCGCAGAATGTCATGTTTTACTGCTGTGCAGAGGTCCAGCCTCTGGAAGACAGATTTGATGGCAGGTGGGAGGCGCACGGATGAGTTCCTGGGTGTGGGAGTTCTGCCTGCTCAGACAGAGGTTTGGGAGAGAAGGGCTGGAACCTCCAAGACCAACCTTCCTGCTCCCTGATGTCTCCTGACGAGGGTGGCTCTGCATGTGTCTGTGACTCTGTGCTCCGAGCAGGCAGAGTATCTGTCCCTTCACCAAGCACCCCGATGCTCACACACGCTAGAGGTCGATAAGAATTTGACAAACAAAAAACAAATCAATACCCTTACATTTAGATTGCATCACGTAGTGTCCCTGTGACTTTGCCCTCCGGCCCAGGAAAGGCTGTTTCCTCCACCAGAAGCCTCGGCCCAGGGCCACAGGGTTATGTGCTTTCATACAGGAATAAACTGTTCCAAAGAAAATCAAGACTAAGAAAGGTTTAACGAAACGACTATAACACATACATTATGTCTACCTCGCTCATTGTTAAATGTGGTATTCCTAGAAATATTATGGGATTTTAAAACAACCTGAGTTTGGAGACCAGCAGTTAGTGTAATGGCTATGTCGCTGAACTCCCATGTAGTCGACCACAGTTCGTGTCCCGGACCTGGTGCCTTAAACTCACGCCGGGCACGTGTGCGTGCGTGCCCATGATTCCAAGAGGAGAATGGAGGAGAAGGGATTGCGGTGTGGCCATCCCCCCCCCGGGGGGGGGTGATTTCTCACTTTCTGTCTCTCTGTCTCTCTGCCTGGCGAGCGCATGCACCCTATAGCAAAAACCTCTCCAAAAAATAAATAATTAAATAAATCAGAGTTTACATTTTCCCCTTCTGCAGGATTTCCCAAGAAAACACAGTGACTACTAAGAAATCAAAGCCAGAGAATAAAATGTGTTTTCATTACTTGTAATTATTTATAGTCCAGTCATCCCAAAGGCAAAATAAGTGACTTCCAGGCCCCCAAAAGTGGCATGGTGGTTCAGGTGCTGGATTCCCACGTGGCCGACCACTGTTCGAGTCCTGGATCTGAAGCTTGAAAACCACGCTAGGCATGTGTGCATGTGTGCCCAAAATCCCAGGAGGAGAATGGAGGAGAAGGGACTGTAATGTGGCCATTACTCACCCCAAGGGGGGGGTGATTTTTCACTGTCCTTCTCTCTGTCTTTCTCCAGCAGGTGCACTTGCCATATGGGGGGAGGGGGTACTTAAAAGATTTCCAAAAACTTTCAGTACGGAGTTATAAATAATGTGGGTGCATTTTTACTATACATGACAGTTTGCTTTGCATATTCTGGCTTTCTTAAAATACTGTTAATGTGGGTGCATTTTTACTATATATGACAGTGCACTTTGCATATTCTGGCTTTCTTAAAATACTGTCATTTAGCGAAAGCAGTTGTTGTATCTCCAGGTCAGTTCATTCCTTCCACAACTTTGGGTCACCTTGTATAAATTCATTAGCGGTAGAGGGTGCTGTCAGGTAAGACTGCTGTGGTTTCATTTCAGTATCCTGCACAGACAGTGAAGTGAATCTGGTGAGAAACCTCTAAATATAAGGGGTCCTGGGCCTGTGAGTGACCCTGAACTAAGGAAGGACATTTTTGTTTATGATTGTTTTTTCCAGAGAAGGGACCAAAAAAAAAAAAAAAAAAGAGCAGATTTAGGTTACTAAGCAGCCTCAAGCAACGACAATTAACCGACACAGCTCCAAGCTCCACGCGCTGCCACCAGATGCTCTGCCACTCCCCACTCACTGTCCATCCATCCCCATCCCATGGCCAGGGACCAGCTTCTGGTCCACACCCAGAGCATCTGCCCACACCACAGTTCCTTCACTATATTTTTTCTTTTCTTTTTGAACTGTGTTTCTCTATTCATGATTCTTTTTTCAGGGTGTGTGTACTCACATGAGAGTGAGAGAGAGACAGAGAAGAGAGGCACACCCCTCATGATCTGGTCGTGCCATGATCCCCTTCCTCCAGTCCTCTAGCCTGTCAAGTGCTGGGCATTTGCACACATGCCTGTGCATGCTCCAGGCTGACCAAGCTGGGGATCAAACTGTGGTCCCCACATGAGATCCGGCTTCTCTTGAGCAGAACACCACCTGGCACCATGAAGTCAACCTGCTACATATTTTTTTCAGCACCAACCAAAGCCCTGCAGATGGATGGGTGCTGTCAAAATATGCAAACACCTGAGTCTCTGGGACCATCTGCAATGGAGTCATTGAGGAAGGGACAGATGTGCATGTCAAGAGAAATCAGTGCTTCTCGACACCCTTCTGCCTTCCAGGACTGCCAGCAGCATCCCCCGAAAGGGAAGGGGACATCGCCAGCCTAGTCCAGCTCCCTTGGACTTCCTTGGGTGCTGTCCTAACCTCCCAGCAGAACTATCCCCCACCCTCCCTGCTCTCAAGGCTAACACCTTGTACCCCCAGGAGCGCCCCCTTCCTTCCTCTGGTGCTGGCTCTACATTCGCCGTCTCTAATCTCCAACTCATCGTGCGCTGTGCCCCTCGCCCCACCCAGCTCCACAGTCCACCCGCAGACATTTCTGTAGTCGTCGCAAAGGGAGAGGGAGGAAGTTACAGAGGAGGGGAGGGAAGGGGGGAGGCAAGCGAAAGGGAAAGCTGCTCATTGATCAGAATTCGGTTGGGAAACCGAGTTGCCCAATGTGAGAAAAGTCCAAAGCAGCGCAGGGACACAGCTGCTGGGGCTGGGTGGTCACACGCGCAGGGATTAGCCGTGGGATGGTAGTGCTCACAGGAACTGGACGGTTCCCTGGGGAAGCCATCAACGGGCTGCAGAGCAGCGAGTGTGAACAGCCAGGGGACCCAGCACAGGGAGCACGGGGTGGACCCTGATGGCCTCCGACTCCAGGTGGGGAGGGGCGGCTCTATCCTGCCAACCTCAGCAAGGCCCTGGAGGACACTTTACGATGACCACGTTCAGCTGTGTCAGAGATTCTTTTCCAATGTGTAGAGATGACCTTTCCGGTTGGTCTTGAATGTCTGCTCAGCCAAGCCACCTCCCCGAGCACAGGGTAGTTAACCTGCTAATCAAAGCTCGTGTGCCCACGCAGCCCTCCCTCAGAGAGCGCCGTGATCATCTGGATGATTTTCTCTCAAATATTCTGGCCTGGAGGCTTCCCATTGGTGGAAGAGAGAAGACAGGAAGGCCACAGTGTCCCTGCTGAGTCCTCACTACACATCTGAGTTGGTGTCCAGAGGGTTCCAGAGCAGCCCAGGCTGGCAGGGGACCTGACGAAGCAGATGGGACTCAAAATATTCTGCATGTGAGTTTGGGGTGAAGTCATGGGGGAAGGGGAGGGACGGACAGTGATCTGTCTTAGGAGCCAAGAAGCTCCCAGGTGTGTGGCAGAAGGTTAGAAGGCAGGCCAGCAGGCCAGAGGACAGCACTCTCCAGTGACGTGGTCATGGGGGGCCCTGCAGGAAAGGCAGCTGTGGGCTGGGCCTCCAGGGTGCTGGGGGATCCTAAGCAGCCAGGAGGGAGCCAGGAAAAGAGAATCTGGTTCCTGAGTGTTTGGGCACAAGTTGGTCATTGCTGGCCTGGGCTCAGTTTGGGAGCAAGGACTGTTTGTTTTTGAGACCAAGTGTCAGCTCACTGTCACTGCCCACTTCTGTCCATTGTAACGCCCTCACTCGTTTCCAGCAAAGAGGCCCAGACATTGTTTGGAGTTCCCAGACGTGGGAGCATTACCCTGCCCGGGCTACTGCTCCCCAGTTCATACACAGCGCATGGAGGGAGGGGCAGGGGAGTTATAGATCTCCCTTAATATGGGTAAAACATAGTACTGAAGAGGGGACATTCCAGGCAATCTGATACGTGAGTTAATCCTTCGACTACCATGAGCCCCACAACCATCCCCAACAGCTGCCACGGGCTTCCCAGGATGGTGGGGAAGGCTCCCGGCAAAGTAGAAAGGGAACCGGGATTAGTGCCCGGAAAGGGTCCCCAAACCTTGGAGCCACTCTGGGCACTGGCTTGTGGCTGCACATTCCAATAGAGCAATTTAATTCCTTCATTTTTCAAGGCCTCAAATCTTTTAATCACTGGGTTTCATTTTGAAGTCTTGGCAAAGCAGAGGACAGCCGCATCACCGCATTCTCCCTGCATCTCTGCTGGTCTGACGCGTAAAGATGCTGCCATCTGGCTCAGGGCTCACGCCTGTGTCTCTGGGTGGTTCACGGGAGTCTGAATGGACTTATCTGATCTGTAAGGATGACGAAACTTCACAGCACATGCCTCGCATTTGCTGGTGTCCTGCCCTACTGGGCTTTCAGGCTTTCACATATATTATCACAGCATCTTCTAGACAGCTCTGGGAAGCAGCTGTCACAGTGCAGATAGCCAGGTGAGTCACACAGGCCGTGCGATTTGCCCAAGACCAGCAGGCTTGAAGCCAGCGCCAGCCAGCTGCCCTCCTTATCTGGCTCCATCCGACTTGCAGCTCCCCTAAGCTTACTGTGTTTTACTTACCCGTCTGTATGATGGGATCGATGCTCCTTAAGGCATCTGCAGAGGAACCTCGGAAGAAACACAGATTCTTTCTTTGGTGTTATGAAAATGCTAACAGATAGCTCCTGCTTTCCTGTTAGTTGCCTTTTTATTTATTTATTTATTTTAGGTAAGCATCAATGAAATGAATATGTCCATTTTTTGTTTTTTTTTAAATCATTTTCTTTCTTATATCAGAAATATCTTTTCATTATACAGAATGAGAAGTCTAAATGTCTGTCTTCAAGGCTATATAATGTCTTTTCTAAATGCAGACTGTCATCCTTCCAGTTCAAGAGTGATTCTTGGCCCTTGTTAACTCAAACATTCCTCCTTCCAGCTGATCTGCGATTCCTCACTCGAGCGGTGAGTCCTCGGATGTTTGGGGACCAGGGCTTCTCACTGGGAAGCCAACAGAAATAGCACAGGGAATTTTCCACCAGGAGCCATTTGCCAGGTGGGCTCCAGGGCCTGACCTGAGAGCCTCCTCCATCTCCTCTTGTGGGGAAAGAAGGGAAAAGCTGGGACTCAGTCAATCCGTCACTCACTCTCTTCACTCCTCAGCAAGTACAGGGTAGGGGGAGGCTTGGAGTAGAGTCTCTGTCGAAGCAGCAAGCCATTCAAAAGCCACTTCCAACCTGGAAGTTACCATGCACACCCTCACATGCCTGCAGCTCCCTGGAAGAGAGAGAAATGAAAAGTTAAGGTTTAGAGCACCAGGTCTGTTTCCACTCTTAGGCACAGGAGACCAGCAATTGCTTTGTTTTCTAAAGTTCCCCTTTGGCAGGTATTCACAGAGGCATCTGGACTATGCGTAAGTGAAAATAGATAAATGAAACTAGGAAACTATACTTTTTATTCTACAGAACACTGTAAGAGTGTCTTCTATTCCTGTCAACATCCTAATTAGATGTGCGAATAGGTTTAAGGGTAGACAAATCCCAGTGTCCAGTTTCTGGGCATGCCTCTAACTGACAGTGGGACCTGGGCGGTCACAGGAATGCTCTGAGCAAGGATCTGCACTCAGGTCACTGCACTGTGGCTGCCATCTTGGAATTCTTAACATTGGGTTATCAGAAAAGTCACGACGGATTTTTTCCATAGAAAAACATAGAAAAAATACGTCAGGACTTTTCTGAAGACCCAATACTATTGAAAAAGGAGCCCTGCATTTTCGCTTTGTACTGGGTTCTGCAAATGATGTAGCTGGTCCGAGAGCAGACAAATGTCAACCCTTAGCACCCTGTACGTTTCAGAAAAAGTGTACCACCAGCTAACAGAAGGCCAAGCCAGAAATGCCATGAGCTGCTTCGTCTGCAAAGCCGTTGCTGTTTCCAAGACTCCTGCAATCTGAAATCTCATACCTGCCTCAATTAATTCTAGACTTCTTAAGTATCTTTAAAATGCAAGCATTAAAGTATCATTGGCTTCCCCCAGGACGGATCCAATGATACCCTCACCACTGTGACTGTTGAGTTATCCATGAAAATATGAATGCCTGAGGGGCAACTTCTTGGCCGAGGTCAATAAGCGATGTAGGCTGAGTGCCTAAGGGGGTTGGGGTCTCAGGGACAGGACCCAGATGGTAAAAACAGGCTTCCATGGGGTGTTATGAGGGTGGGAGCCAGACAGAAGTGAGGCGAACAGGGCAGCCCCCTCTTACCTAGGTGCTTGGTTGTCAAAGAAGAACTGGTGACAAGCGCAGGGTCTCGGATGGGGGAAGAGCACAGGTAGGGCCGTAGGGGCGTGAGAGGCTCTCGGGCAGAGGGAATGTGTGATTGAAGGCTCACGGCTAGATCAAACACTATTTAGGGGACAGTGAGAAGAGCAGGCTGGGCATAACTGTGCCCATTTCCAGAGAGTCCAGAGACAGCCCAGTCAGCAGGCAGGCACGGCATAGCAGACATTCGTACAGTTAAACAGTTTCAAACTCTTTTAAAGCTCCTGACTGGGTCTTGAAAAGTCAGATCAAGAGGCCGGCAGGTAGCATGGTAGTTAAAACGCTGGACTCCCACTGCAGTCCTGGACCTGGCAACTTGAAAATCATGCCAGACAAATGTACATTTATGCCCAAAATCTCATGAGGAAAATAGAAGAGAAGGGACTGCAGAGTGGCCATCCCCCCAGGACATGAGTTCTTACTTTCCCTCTCACTGTCTCTCTCTAGCAAGTGCATGTGCCCTATACCAAAAAAAAAAAAAAAAATCACTTAAGGCAGTGGTTCTCAAACCTGGCAGCACATCTGAATCACCCTGGGCAATGGGGGTAGTGGGGTCACAATTTTTCCCATATGTGATGGTCATGTAATTTTGCAGATCTTCACTTTGTCAGTAAAATGGCATATTGTACTGCAGTTAAGAGCACATGGTGGAGTCTGCTTGCTTTTACTAGCTATGTGAGTTGGGGAAAAAGTTCCTGTTTCCTTTTCTAGAAAGCAAGAAGAGCAACACCTACGTCGTAAGGTTATGTGGAGATGAATTAGATAGTGTACAGGCTGTAGCACAGCGCTGCTACTTTGTAAATGCACACTAACCAGCATCATTGTTATTACCAACGTTGCCTGGAAAAGGAAGTCTATGTAGCCCAGGAATCCTTGGCTCAGATCGAGTGCCATTTCCCTAGTTTTCAGTTCATGAATATTGTATTTTTATTGCTTAAAAATAAAAATCAGTTCTTTTCTTAATTAATAGACTTCATTTTTAGAGAAGTTTTAGGTTTTCAGAAACATTGAACAAAAACCAGAGTTCTCTAACATCTTGCATTTAGTGACATGCATCTGTTGCAGTTGTTGAACTCGTGTGGAAACATTCTTATTAACTGGTGTCCACAGTTAGCATCGGAGGTCCCTCCGAGTTGTTTATTCTGTGGATTTTGCCAGATACATGGTGTCGCTCTACCGCTGCAGTGTCACATGGAAGTTTCACTGCCCAGAAATCTCCCGGGCTCCTCCTGTTCATCTCTCCTTCCCTAACCACTAAACATCGCTGATCTTTTTACTATGTCCATAGATTTACCTTTTCCAAAATGCCATACAGTTGGAATCAAATCCTATGTTCTCTTTTCGGATTGACTTCTTTCACTTAGCAATAGGCATCTAAGGTTCTTCGATGTCTTTTTGCGGCTTGACAGTTCATTTCTTTTCATTACTTAGTAATGCTCCAATTTGCATTGTGCTTATCCAGTTCCCTATTAAAGAACACCTTGGTTGTTTCCAAGCTTTGGCAATTATGAATAGTTTCTACAGTCATTTTTGTGCAGTGGTTTTTTTTTGTTTTTTTTGTTTTTTGTTTTGTTTTTTTTTGGAGAGGTTTTCGCCATAAGGTGCATGCGCTCACCAGACAGACAGACAGAGAGAGAAAGCGAGAAATCACCCACCGGGGGGGATGGTCATGCCACAGTCCCTTCTCCTCCATTCTCCTCTCGGGATCTTGGGCACACACACACACGCGCCCGGTGTCAGTTTAAACCACCGGGTCTGGGACGCGAACCGCGGTTGACTACGTAGGAGTCCAGCGACATAGCCATTACGCTGACTGCTGGTTCCCCAGTGTTTGTTTTTTGTATGGACAAGTGTTGTCAGTTCAGCCGGGTAAATGCCCAGGAGTGATAGCTGACCTTAGGGTAAGACCATACTTAGCTTTGTAAGAAACTGCCAACCATCTTCCAGGGCAGCTGGACTGTATTTGGTTGCCACCACAGTGAATGAGCGTTCCTGTTGCTCCCTGTCCTTTTCAAATTTGATGTTGCTGGTGTGTTAGACATTCTCATAGAACTTTAGCCGTTCTGGATGTGCAGGTGCACATTCTGTTCTTCTGGTGTGCACATCCCTGGTGACACATGAGGTCATGCATTTTTTCGCACGCCTGTTCATCACTCGTGTGATTTCTTTGGTGTCCATTCGGGTATTGCACTCTTTTTCAGTTGGGTCTTTTCCTTACTGTTGAGTTTTAAGATTTCTTTTATATTGTGGACACAAGTTCTTCAGAAGATAATGTGTTTTGCAAATACTTTCTCTGGATCACGTAAAACACAATGCTCTGCAAGGCCGGCGTATGTGAGAAGACTCCAGGTCCTAAACCAAACTCCGGGCACTAACCGTAACACTAAACGAAACAGTCACCCAAACCCGAACCCTAAGCCTAATTCTCACCCCTGACCCCACTCCTAACCCTAAATCAAACCCTAACCGTAACCCTACCATAAGCCTTACCATTCCCTAAGACTTGCACCAAAACCGAACCCTAACACCTAAACCTAACCGTAACGGTAACCAAAACCGTCAACCTAACCCGAAAACTAACCCTAACCCTCACCCCTAACCCTCGCCCTGACCCTAAATCTAACCCTAACACCTACGCTTCCATAACCCGAACCGTAACCCTAACCATTGTCCCTAACCATAAACCTCACCCCTAAACATGACCCTGACCCTGACCCAAACCCTAACCCAAACCCCAACCCTGATGATAATACTCACCCCTAACCCTAACCCTCAATCTAACCCTCACCCTAACACTGCTGAAAACCTCACCCTAACAAAAAAAAAAAAAAAAAAAAAAAGACTCCAAGTCCATGTCTGGAGATGCCCTGAGTATGCCAGGCATGCTCCATGCCCATGACCCAGGGCTGGCTGAAGCTAGGGGTGGATCACAGTGCCAGGACCTGATGGGGGGGGTGCCTCTCTCTCTCGGAAGAAAGAAAAAAAATGTAAAAACAAAAGAAAATTAAACGAAAATGCTCCAAGGGGTGTCAATACACCAGGAAGGTGGAGAACTGAATCCCTGAATTTAGGTTACTTGGCCAGGGTATTCAGAGCTTAGCAGGGGGAGCTGAGCAGTGAAACCAGAGCAGAACAACGCCCAGTCTGCATAGGACCAGCCGTCTCTCCTTACTCACAGGCTAAGATCCCTTTCCTAAGCGATTCCTTTCCATCCTGGGGAAGGGTGGTGCTGGAGGGGGCGGGATGGGAAAGCAAAGAAACTGAGCTGCACTTAGTTCATCTGCCCAGTCACCAGGTCGCACAGGTGAGGTTCGTAATGCGCCTTTTCTCCTCAGCGCCGACATCATTTCCCCGCCCTGTGCCTTAAATCCTGCCTTCAAAGGGGGAAAGCTACCGTCGCTTTACAGGGGACCGTGTCAGGGGACCGAGAAAGAGGAATGGCTGAGCAAAAAAGAAGCTGGAGACTGTGCTTTTCACATGGCAACCTGAGAATAAAAGACATGAGGAGCAAAATAGAGCCTTCTGCTGACAGTTGAGGTCCTTGCTGTCTCATAAGCAAGAAGAGCTCTTAGTGAGCATTGCACCCCCGTGCCCTTCCTCTCCCTAGCCCTGCTTCTCTTCCCCTCATTGCACAAGCAGAAGTCAA